CACAAAGCTAAGGAAACTTTGAACAAGTGGGGCCAGAAATATTGTAAGAGCCTGAGGACTAAGAATACTTCTGTGAGACTGTGACTTCTAGCTATACCAGGGAAGCTACACTAAGGAATTATAAACAGAATTGCTGTCTAAACAGTACCTGGACAAATTCCAACAAAAGCTGACATGGGGAGAAATCCTATGGAGCCTACCCATAGATGAAAAGCTACAGGTAATTAATAGCATGTGAGAGGAGGAGAATTAATATTCTCCAGGGACAAACATTCTGATTGGTTGCTTGGTACCAAGTGATCATCCTTAGAAACATACACATGAAGGCAACACTGACTGGACTCAATAGGTTGTAGTTATATATCTTCATCTAAATTTATATGTAATAAGTAAAAGAAGAGGAAGCCATGACTGGGCCTGGAGGCATACACCTTCAATTGAAACACTTGGGAGACCCAGGCAGTCAGATCTATGTGAGAGTGAAGTCATCATGATCTACATAGTGAGATACATAATAGCCAGGGCATATAGTGAGACCTTGTCTCAAAAGAAAGGAATAAGAGGAGTGGTCTGTGAACTTAAGTGGTAGTGGGGTCTTTGGAGGGAGGAGAAGGAAGACAGAAATTATATTTTAGCTAAAATTTTATAAAAGTATCATAATAAGCTGACTGTACAAGAAGAGTTGTATTTAAATAATGTTAATATATCCTTTTGAATAAATTACCTTAGCTCTGTCATCACACAAAACTGGTTTGGAATACAAGTACTGACACTTGCTAACAAAGCCTAAATACACTTCCAAATAAAACAAATAAACAAGTAAATAAATAGGCTAGAAAACCCTGAAGGGGAAAAAAAAAAACACCAACTTTAGCACTAATTAAGTATAATTACAAAGACTCTTCATGAGATATGAAATAACATAGGAATAAGGAAACAGTAAGAATCTGTCTCTGGCCTGAGACAACAGAGCTAACATGAACTGCTGGATTCTGCTCTGTGAACCTGCTTGCCATTCCTCTTCCCTGAAATGGGTCACATTTGCTCTTCTCTGTTGAGAAGTTACCACCAACAGCAACCACTTAGACAACATCTTACTTAGGGTTTCCATAGCCGTGAAGCTAGCATGACCACGGAATCTTTTATTAAGGAGAACAATTAATTGGGATGGTTATAGTTTCGGATGTTTAGTCCATTTATCATCATGGCATCAGCATATAGGCAGACATGATGCTAGAGAAAGAGCTGAGAGTTCTACATCTTGTTCCACAGGCAACAGGAAGTGTACTGTCTCTACACAGGACATAGCTTGAGAATATGGGACCACAAAGCCCACCACTACAATGACACACTTTCTCCAACAAAGCTAAACCTACTTCAGCAAACCTCATATATCCTCCTACTCTTATGAGCTTATTGGGGCCAATTACATGCAAGCTACCACAGACAGACAGATCAGGTTGCTAATAACTAACCCTGTCTTAACCTGAAATATGTACATTTCAGCTTCTATAGAACTTGTCCAATTCTGGAGAAAATATCCTTCAAGGCTGGGATAACAGAAACCACTCTATGATTGTCAGAAGAATATGACAGTGCCCAAAAAAACTGAGCAAATCTTGGTCTCTTTTAGCAATAGTTAGAGATTATACCTCAAAACCGATTAGAGAAGGTATTCCTTTATTGCTGAGTGCTTAGTGTTTCTCACTGGGGAAGGTTGAGGAAACCTCATTCAAAAATACAGCAAGAAAAGTACATAGAACCTCCTTGTACATTGTATAGTGATTCCATAATTACTTCACTATAATAGGTTTGTTTGTTTTGTGGTATGGAGTCTAAACCCAAGGCCTTATACATGCCACTAAGCCCTGTACCACTGAGCTATATCCCCCAATACTCAAAATAGACATTTTAAATGAATGTTCACATTTTATATCTTTTAATTATGATATAGTTAAGTTTTTCCCTCCCCATTTCTTCCTCAAAACCCTCTCATTTATCCCTTATTGCTCTCTTTCATACTTATGGCCAATTTTTCTTATTAATTGTCATATGTATATACATATAAGTTCCTAAATATAATCTACTCAGTGTGTACATTGCTCAGATTTTAGAAAAAAAATATATATGTGCCAATTTGTGAAAATAGAATAAAATTCCTTTAGTAGGACTTTTCTGATCTTGTCTGGTTCTTCAGTGACCAGGAGAGGCTGCATGCCCTTATACTACCTGCATAGGGAAAACAGAGATATTTAACCTTTAATCTTGATAGCACTTCTGGTTCTACAAGACACGACAACAACAACCTAGTTCAGCTTCAGGTTTCCAACCAGAGAAGCCACTAGTTAGTTCAGGAAATGAAGAGTAACATAACCCAGGCAAGATGAAATGTATGACAACAAGACAGCTCTCCAAATGCATCCTGGTTAGGGCTAACATGGAGCATCTGATACACCTGAAAGGAAAAACATGGGTGTCAACCATATAATTTTTTGTAATTCAATTTCATGCACAACTGTATTAGACTTTGAGAGAAAAACAGTAACAAAAGCAAGCTGAAGAAATGGACAGTGGTCAGGATGAAAGGGAACAGAAGGAAAGTCACATCTTTTAACTAATCCAGAAAGGTGGAAGAAAGTGAGAAACCCCCAAAATGTCACAGAAGGAAGAAATGCTTAGAATGTCAAGATGCAATTCAAAGTTCAG